TAGGGTTTAAAGGTGGTTCATGTCTTTACACCTTGGCACCAATGCCCTATGTTCCATATGTGATTATGACATAGCTTAGCTGTCAGGAGGCCCCTAACCCTTAACCTGACTTAATTTTCTTACTTTACCAATAAGATTAAAACAATAATAAATATATTTCCTTAAATTATTTTTTTTCTGAGTAGGGGTAAGAATAAATTAGCATTTATTCATTAAGCATATAATTACTAACAGTCTTTTCAATGGATACAGATACTCACTTCCTAGAACCTTTGAAACAAAAAATTGAAGGGCAGTAATTTATTTTTCTTATGCTTTATTCCCCAATAATGTATTTTTCTATTTTCATATATGCTATATTGTAAATATTACACTGTCAGATTCAGACTGATCTTGGGGGAATCATTAACTCCTCTGAGCTTGTTTATTCATCTATAAAATGCAGAAAATACCCTCTTTCTTGGGTACCTTCTTTCTGCACTTGCTTTAAGAATTACATCTAATCATGGATGTTGTGTGTAAGCTTTTTATAAGCCACAATGCACTATGCAAATATAAATTATTTCTGTTGCTCTGGGTATATTTTAATGTTATCAAATTAATGGCAAACATTATCTCTGAGTAGAGTGATAATAACCTTCTGTGTTCACCATGGCATCTTCTATTTTCAGAACCATATGCTACATCTTCTTATGTTGTCATAAATATGTACAGAAGATGGGCTGATTGTGCCTGAGACGATTAGTCAATATTATTTCACATGCCTGGAGAAGGAAATTTGAAGACCAACTTCTTGCTATGGGACTAGACTTCAGATCTTGATAAACTTGTCAGGAGTGTTACACTTACCTATATGTTGAAAAAGCCTAATCTAATTGATAGCGTCAAATGCTTTTGTACAGTTAATGAAGAAAATATACAGCCTGAATACTGTTTATGACTTTTATAATGAGCAACTTTGTGCACGTACTGCATCTCAGAGCAGTAATCTATTCTACAAGCACATCAGTATTGCCAAAGGCTAGAGGAGCCATAGAGGACTCTGGCCACGATCTTCTCAACAATCAGGGAATTGCCTTTTACTTCTTTAAAATGAGTTACACTGTATTTCCTGAAGTGTAGGCTAATGTTCCCAGGCACGTGAATTATGATACACTTTTGTCAAACATCTGTTCCCTTTTAGATAGCAATGTGTATGCCATGTCATTTTCTCAAGTTGTATTCTTTAGAAAAAATTAAAATTTCTAATATAGCGATCTGCCAGTTTCATCCTGGGAAAGCAACAAAGATAACAAAAGCAGGTAGATATGTAATACCACCATGGCAAGAGAAGATATATTTATCTTTTCATCTTACAAGAAAAAAAAATCAGTGGATTGATTAAAATATAACTTGTTGAAGTGAAGAAGGTAAAATAATAATAAAACAAAACAAAACAATATACTGTGGAAAATTAGAAAACAATAAACTTAGGTTCAGGCTTGATTCAATTCATGATTTCATTTGCTTATTCAAGTAGGGAGAATTTATTACAAGCCACACAGATTATCATAATTTTCTGAATTCAATTAGCACTATTTTTGGCAATTAAGGTGTATGGTTGTAAATGTCCATAAAAATTAAAAATACATATATGAATAACAAAGATATATATTAAAACTGAACATTAAGATAAAAATATTTAAAAAGTATGTACAAAATTTTAGTATGTAGGCTATGCAAATTTATGTAAGTACCCATATAATTATACATGTGTATGTGTGTTTGAACACACTCATCACATCCATTCTTACTTCTAAGAATCCTGAAAGATAAAATGGATTTTTCACATGTTTCAACCAAAGTTTTGAAGACAGACACAAAAACGAAAATGAAAAGAAAGCTGTTGGTAGAGGCCACTCGGGTGATATAGATGTCCTGGCCTCCCTGCCGACCCATGGTGAACACCTGACCTTCTCGGAGGCTCCACCTCTATAATGCTAAAGGGTGACTTGTGGGATTCAAAATGAAGACGCTGCTCAGCTCCAAGCTAAATCTGAGATTAAAATTTGTTTGGCATAGACTTAGTTTTTAGAATATTGTATCACATTCTAGACCTTCAGCCACTGCTAAGTCTAATAATCACAGGCTTCAATTAGCTATGGCATGGCATTAAGCAAGACCGCTCACCCTAACCACTCTAGAAAAATAAGAGTTTACTTTAATGAAACTCAACACCAGTGATGAGTGTTTTGTGGCAGCATAGTTCCAAACTTTCTCTTGACTCTTTTCATATACCCCCAGCCCCTCCAGCCCCACCACAGTCTAACATACTGCACTGCCTTGTCTCACCTGGGCCACGAGAATAGCCTCTACCTCCCTGTTCTCCCTACGGACATTATGGAGCAGCTCTAATCGCTTCTCCACATTACGTCCAACTTCGTCTTTATAAAATGCACATCTGATCATGTCATTCCACAGGCCTAGAAAATTTCAAAGACTTCCCACGGCTCTTGGCAAGATCAAAACACAGGGCCTTCTGGTCCAGCCCCAGCCTCCCTTTTGTGCAGGCCCACCACTCTGTCACTCTATGGCTCTTTCTTGGTTCTCCGGTTATATGAGCTTTCGTTTTAATTCCTGGGGCATACGATATAATCACCAACGATAGCAGGGGTTTTTTTGTGTACAGAGTGTCCTCCACTTGAAATCGTCTCTTCTCTGTTCCTACCCCCACCTTCACCTAGTTCATCCCTACTGATCCTTCAGCTTCCAGCTTAGGCACCGTGACTCCTGTTATGTGCTCTCCACACCACCAGCTACGTTTCGTAGAGTGACTATCTGATTAATGTCAGTCTCTCTTGCTAGAACATAAACTCCATGAGACAAAGGGATTGTGTGAAGTTTGTTTGTTTTTTTTTTTTTTGCTGGAATAAAAAAAATATCAGAAGGAATAAAAAAGACAATGTAGTTTGCCTAAATCCTCCCTGAGTTTATTTTGCCTAGGTACTACCTGCAGTTCACTGAATTGTTTCTTTAGACGGTCTAGATTCTACATGCATCTTTTAAAAAAGCATATACTTTCAACAACAGCCAACACCCTCTTGGAAGTTTCAGAAAATGACTCAAATAAGAACCATTAAGTGACTTTCTATAGCATCTTGACAAGTTTCTGTACAAGCTCAGCCAGTAAGCAATTGTTGGTGGACTCATCTGCTCGGTATCACTGTGTTTTAATTTAAATTTCCTTTTCAGGAAGTGTTTTTAATGTCACTGGATATGCGGAAATCTGTTCTGAATTTATATAATTTAACATCAGTCTTAAAAGTTAGCGATTTATGAAGAACTGTGACTGGATGATGGTTTAGAAAATTTTTCCCTCCTGACAGGAGACCGATGCTGGGAAAAATAAAACATCCCAATTCTCATTAATGGAAACAGAGCTGAACAGACAACTGTAGCTGTTGAAGCCTACTGAAAGTGCCAGGAAATTCTAAAAGCAAAAACAAGGTTGGGCTGGCAGATTAATGTGCCTGAAATATAAAACCATGGAATTTCTAATGTTAACGGACATTTTGGTCAGTATTTACCTAGGCAATTTTATGTTGTATATTATAGAAGAGATTAAATAGACAAATGCTCACTTTACAAAGCTAGATATGAAGGTGCATTCATATGCCACCTATCCAGTTTCCAACTTTTGGAGGCGCCCTTGAGGCTTATAATTCTATTTACTAAAAATAATGAGCCCACATATTTCCTCTGTTATGGAAGAGTGAACCTGAATAAAATTTGCTGAACTAATTAATGCCTATTTATGCCAGAAGAGTCTCAGGTTGGATTTCGGCCATCTCGAAAACCCCTCTCTTTCTTCATCCAGCAATCCATTTATTCATTTAACAATCATTGAGCATCTACTTCATTATTTATTTATTTATTTTTGCAGGAGCTCGTGAGCTGGTGGGAAAACTAGGAGGTAAGGCAAAGCAGATATGTACAATATAAACAGGAAACACTCCCCTGCAGATAAATACCAACTTCTCTTAGAATGCACCTGTAGGGAAGCAGTTGCCCAGGCATCTGCTTTGGTGAGTAATACAAACCTGCATCCCACCACCCCATCCACCCTAGCTCAGATTTAGTCTGCTTTAGTCAGCTCTCCTTTCCCCACACGCTTACAATTGCATGGCCAGGAGCTTCAGGTAAGCCTGCAGGATTACCCTACTCAAAACAATTCCAAGCTTTGTCCCCTCATTCCGTTGTTGTGTGGGCCTCATGGTGCTTCTGAACATTGGGGAACTTTATCAACAACCCAAGGTATATCCGATGTCTTAAAGAATGTCGTTCAGCTTTTGAAAAACATAATTTATATTTATTTAAGTTTAAATGTTAAATTGACCATAGAGTATACTCAGGTATGTATTATGGAATCAGAAGCACGACAGAAAGCTCCTCAAAGGAAGCCTTCGATTTTTGTACAAAGCAGACCATTGGCAAATGTTGGTTAAATTGTTGAACTAATTGCTGTATATTTCATGAGAAAACAAGCCTTTCTGAACTAGAGTATTGGTATTTATTTGAAATCCAAGGGGCCAAGGACTCTAAGAGAATTGTTCCGTCCCTGCATAGATTCTAAAAATTCTTCTGGCCAAGAATGTTACATCCACATAGGATACTAAGGAAAACTGTGACGAAGGTAAAAGTTGTCTGTGCCTCCCTTCAAACTTCCCATTGGGTACCGCCCTGCCCCATATTTAGTCATAAAACAATGTAGATTTATTGAGCACCTACTACCTGCCAGGCCCTCTTCTAAGTGTTGGGGATACCCATCACTGAAAACAAACTGACATCTTACCTCGTCTCTTTATTCGAGATTCCTTTAATGAGTACCCTGTACCTGGAACTCTGTCTATTACTTGGAACAGTGATGTAGACATTTTGCATGGCACCTACCCCTAAGTGAAGCTGTTCACACCCATGATACAACAGGAAAGCAGAAATTACAAAGGTACCACTTATCTTACCTTGTAATGAATTGAAGATGGAGAAGAGGTACATAAAAGGGATGTTTAAGGGTCCCCAGGCAAAGAAAGCAAAACCCCATGTCATGCCCAGCAGAAATGTCAGGCTGACCACACTGCGCAAGTTCCTTAAAACCTCTTCACGCAGGGTCCGGTTGCTTCTCTTGCCATTCCTCCCACAGATTTGCACCATTACCACGATGAACATGGCAACATTCAGGAAAAACATGACTCCAAAATACCCAGCGCAGGTCACATAAAATACGACTGGATCCTGAATCCAACAGCTTAATGAAGAAGAAACCAGAAAGAAAAAGAGATTTATTACCATGTCCTGTTTACCGAAGACTTCTCCTGGCTTAGTTTGGGTTTCTGCAGATTTCACAACTGGACCTTTCTCAAAGCCTTTAGACAGTCACTTCATTTTCCTGGGCCTCAGTTTCTTTTCTGATGTTTACACAGTTTTTTTTTTTTTTTTTTTTGGTTTGTTTTGGATGGCTGTCATCTTAATATCGAGTTATTTAAGTCAACAGTTAAAAAGAAAACAAGGTGGCTTCTTGAATTCTGACTTGGCATGAAGACACTTGTGGTTGGCTCACCCGAAACCATGTCTCGCCCCCTTCTCTCTTATGTGACTGCACTCCAGAGAATGGGAAATTTAAGTACTTGTTTTCTCAATCTCTTTTGCATTTAAGGGGCAGCCACATGGACACTGTTCCACGAAATGATATGGAAGCAAAATCTGCTAGGGGATTTTTGGGAGAGGCCCTTATTTGTTCTTTCTGCTTCCACCATGAAAGCAAGCTCTGGAGCTGCAGTAACCACCTTTTATCTTTGAGAGAAAGGCCAGGATCACTGCAGAGTTGCTGGTCCTGACATTTTCAGCCATAAAACCAATGGCAGTAGCCGCCTACTTCCGTATCTCTCGTTATGTGAGAAGAGTAAATTCCTACTTAAGACACATGTAATCATGAATTCCATTACTGCTGCAAAATAACTCCTAGTAATATAATTGATCTAGTTGAGGCAAGACTTTATTATAGAACTGTGATATTCCTATAGTGACGCTCCTCATGAATAGTTAGAAAGCGTACACCAATTACAACATCTTTACAAGGTGAGGAAGGACATACTTCATATTCAGAATTATATACCCACACAAACACATATATCAGAAAATAGATTAAAGTAATTTAAAAATTGTACCATGTGTAAAGTGTTCTATGAGTAAAGTCCACACACCACAATTTGCAGATGCCCCAGTGCCTAATTAATACTATGTGAGTTCTTAGGTACCTCAAAAATTGGATAAATTATTTAAAGCTATTAAATTCATCTAAAAAGTCTCGTGAAAATGGTTATCATTCTAGGTTATGTATTCCACACTAGAACATGACAGCCACAAAGGCAGAAGCTGTCTTGAACATCTTTGAATCCCAGAACCTACCATGATTCCTGGCATATCATAAATGCTCAGCAAATGAGACTGTTGATGGTGCAGCAATTTACTAACTGTATTATAAAGTCCTGTGAGAGTTGACTAACATACTTGTAAAATTCCCTTATTTGGGACTGATGCACTGACTTCTACTTTTAATGTATCTTATTATAACAATCCCCAAAATGACGCTGCTTGTCTCTGGAGCTAATATTCCTTTACATTTGGAAGTCCCTTAGAATCCCAAGTTTCCTGACCTAGCTCTTTTATTTTCTACTAGTTCTTGTGGGGTTTTTTGAGTGCTGTTTTGGAACTATAAGAGAAGGGAAGCCCATGAGGGAATGGGACCCAGGTCGGACATGGACTAGATATGAAAATGTTCTCCATCCATGAAACGTGCACAGATATGTGACCTCACGGGTCTCATCTCAGAGGTAAGCTCTGTATGCATTCAATAATTCATTCAATCAACAAATATTTATTGAGTACCTATTATGGGCTAGAAAAGATATGAGAGAACTGCCAAAGGTGAACGATATCCAGATCTTGGCCTCTATGACCCCAAAGCCAAATACAAATACTGATTTAATTTTCTTGAAGATGTGTGTAGGCTTAAGGAGGGGGAGTATTATGGAATTCCTTCAAGCAGGACGGGTCTTCTGAGCCGAGAGGACCCTATCCCAGACCTTCTCTGCAGTCCGCCAGGTGACAGAGCGCAGGTTAACGTGGGGAAGCAGCTCAAGCAGTCCGGGCGCCCAGCTGAATTCAGCTGTGGAGCAGCAAAGACCTCAGCGAGGGAATGGAAGCACATTTTCAACCTTCCAAACTAAGAGGCTCACTACTGGCCTGGAAACTATGCACCACACTCTAGGAAGCAAAGGATATACACTCAACACAAACAAATTTCCAACAAGTTGTTATTACTTACAATTCATCACCTTGTTCTTTTCCATAACTTTCTTTTCCGTAGACCTCATTTTGGTTTCTGCTTGCCAGAACAATGGACACGACTAAGGCTGGCAGACCTGTTACAGAAAGACCATGACATAAGCACATGGAGCATCTGGAACTGCTTTATAAGACTGATAAGGGCAAGGGGGAAAAAAAAGAGAGAGAGAGAGAGAGAAAGAAAACCCTCCACATCACAGAATTTGTTTTAGAACTGGCAATTTGCTTAAAAGCAACAATACAATCCCCTCTTTGGTGTGGAACATCCAACTCTAACTGGCAACACTTAAAACCCATTCTTAAATGACAGATATTTAAATATTGTGTTTGCTTACTGTTACTCATTACACACCCAGAACCTGGTTTATTCTGAATCCAGAAGCAAATGTGCTTCATTAATGACAACTGCCATTCTGCCAGGGTTTGGGCAGTGAGAGAACTGCAGTTTATTTGGCCCCTTTCTATGGAAAGAAAAGTCTTCGGAAACAGTGGGGGAGAAACCATGGGGCCGTGAAGTTTTTACAGTCTCCTCTCTTCAGAGAGTCAATAAAATATTTTCGTATATATTTCACTGGGGAAGACCACAGCACCCTAATTCCTTGGAGGATGATTTTAGTGCCAAACACCTTGGAAATGTCCCATACATCTATATTGCCATCTGCAAAAAAAAAAAAAAAAAAAAAGAAAAAAAAAAAAGCAAGCTCTAAATGCTTGCTCCAATATGAAGCCAGATAAAGAAAGGAGCCTATTTAGGAGATTCCAAACCGGCTAAGGCTACCCTCCATGTTTGGCTGAGGAATCATGTTAAGAAGTTCAAGGCAAGAATTTTGTCAGTATTCTGGTTGCACACACACAAAAAACCTTCTCTCTCTAGATCCAAGACATGCGCATGTCTACAGGGGGTGAGGACCACGAGGAGCCTGAGTGGCCCTTTCTATTTTGAAACATAATGGAAATGCACCACGGTCTGTCAACTGCTTCTTCAGACTTGGGTGGCCTGGCTCTGGTCACCGGAAATAAGTTTGCGGTGACTCAGGAGGCTAGGGCTTTTTCCTTTACTCCTGAATTTAGTAAGGATAGCTGAATAGATTTAAAAAATACCATTCCGAGGAAGCCCCTGCCTTGGGATGTGTACATCTCATCCACATCATTCACAGTTTTGAAGTTTCTTTCGGCAGCACTAAAATCTTTCAGAATAGGATTTTCCTATGAGAGATGGGAGATTTCCCTGACAGTGAAAACAAAACCAAAACTGTTTAGGAGGCTTACCCCAGCCAATGATGCAGAATTTCAGTATATATCTGCGAATGTAAGTGTTAAATACTTTAACCAGGGCAATGTACATGTGAATTGCTTCTAGCCCCATCCAGGTGAAGGTTGCAATGAGGAAGAAATGGAGGAGGACAGCAATGGCTGTGCAAAGACCCTCCACGTGAAACGAGGTGATCCAGCCATCCAAGAGGAAGAGGAGGTTCAGGAACAGCAGGGCTGTACTCAAGTTCATCAGGATTTTGGAGGGATAGTCCCTTCGCAATTTCCTGAAAAGGAGAAAAAAGAAAGAGGAGAGGAATACTGTAAATTAATCTTTTAAGCACAGGCAGTAAATTCACATGGCTCCACTAAGAGGAGGAGATTTGTGTTTAATTAGGAGTTTTTAAAGATTTTATCAGTACTTGGCAAATTATAAAGTTTTTTTTAAATTTTCTTAAAGATTTTATTTATTTATTTGAGAGAGAGAGAGAGAGAGAGAGAGCATGTACAAGCAGGGAGGGGGCAATGGGAGAGGGAGCAGAGAGCCTGACACGGGGCTCGATCCCAGGACCCCGGGATCCTGACCTGAGCCGAAGGCAGATGCTTAACCTACTGAGCCACCCAGGTGCCCCTAAAGTTTTTTTTTAATATTAATTTGATTTCAAAACCGTTTCCAATTGTTTATCAAATTTCCAATTAGTTTCAATGGATTTTTTTTAATCCAGGAAAAATACTAGTTATAAAAATGAAATTTTTGTTAAAAAAAACAATTTCCCTAAAATTTTCTGAAGTTTCTTTTTAATGAGGTAAGGATCCTTTAAAAAAAAAAAAGTCCTGTTGGGGTGCCTGAGTGGCTTAGTTGGTTGAGCATCTGCCTCTGTTTCAGATCATGATATGGGGTCCTGGCATAGAGCCCTGCCTGCAGGGTTCCTGCTCAGCAGGGAGTCTGCTTCTCTCTTTCCCTCTTTCCCTCTGACCCTTCCCCTCTCTCCCCTGCTCATGCTCTGGGGCGAGCTCTCTCTCTTTCTCTGATTGAATAAATAATTAATGAATAAATAAATGAATGAAGGACTAAATAAAAAATCTTTATAAAAAAAGGGTTCCTGTTTCAGGACTAATTTTATAAGATCTGTGAAGTAAATAGTTTCATATTTACCGTGCAAAAAGCACTTTATACAATTTTTATTTATATGTTAATCATCTCTTACAGGTTGAAATACATTTTATCCATAGACATACAATAATTATAAATTAAGATTCTATAGCGAGAAAATTTATATTGCATGATATATGTTATGAGAAACCTGAACATTAAAGTTGAACCACTCTACACAATTTGAAAAGTAAGTATTTTTAAAAGCAAAGGCAATTTTCTCATTCACATTTTGGGACAGTTGGCACTAGGTTTTGAAGGATAAAAAATACTTACTCAAAAGCAACATATGTAAGGAGAGTTGCTGCTGAAAAGATAGCAGATATCCCACACCCAATATAGGTGATGAAGGTGAGAACTTTGGTGTTTCTTGCATCTATCTGTGAGGCAGTTCCTTGAAGGTCCTACATAAATCATGGGAAGCAGCTGTTAAGAATCTCTCTTTTCACGGGACCGGTGTTTTATTAGAAAGTTCACTGCTAGCACTTACAATCTTAGCTTAATCTGAGGGGCTAAAAACAACAGTGCGAATCAATATGGAAGCTTCCATTTATTGTACTATTGCAGATCATTCCATGAAGCAAAAGTGTAGCATTATTGAGAGAGTTGCATGTTGTTTTCCATCATTACCTGATAATCCAAACTCTTTGCCCACCAGAATAGCCTGAAGAGCAAAACCACTCCCCCCACAAGTAACTGGGGAGAAGGTCACTGCCTTGCATAATAAATGATCAGACCCATTGCTAACATTTGCAGGGCTAGGGACAGAAGTACAAATAGAGGACACCATGGCCAAATGTGAGCCCTCAGGCAAGCCTTGTCTTCTTTGTCCAGCAGGGAGGGGCTCAGCCAGTGGACAGCCAAAGACTGGTGCCTATGAGCTTAGTGCTGAGGATCTTAACTATGGTCATTTCAAAGCTTGGCATGTATTGGGTTGGGTGGTCTTTATTTTTTTATAAATGAGAAGCCATTATGGATTTTTAGATTATAGGGGTTTTGTTTGTTTGTTTGTTTGTTTGTTTGTTTTAATCCCTGTTGACCTGAGAGGGTACCATGTAAAGTATTAGGGGTTGTGGAATGGAAAGAAGTAAACACTTTCTAGCATATTAACATGAAGCATTAATTTCACCGTGCAGAGGTAGACTTGTAAAGTCTGGGCCTGGGAGGGAAATCTTTCTTCCCTTCCTTAAATAGGGAATTGGGTTAGGGATAAATCTTGAGTTAAGACCATCCACTCAATCCTGGTTGGAGAAGAAAAGACACCTCCATTATGCAGATGTTCAAAAATGGAGTCTTCTTGGAGAAAGGCCATATTCTAAAGGGGATATCTGGTTTAAAATTTTAGGTCTTAGATTATGAAAAAGAAAGTTTGCTTTATAAGCTTTTCATTTTATGTGTTAATTCTCTTTAATTTTCATCAACATGTCAATAAAATTTGTTACTCACATACAAAGCCTCCAGTAGGTGGTGTTTGCTTGTGAGTATATGTGTGTGAAATGATGACAGGAGATTCAGTCTGTGGTTTGGCTGAGGCAGTAAGAAACAGGTAACAGCACTTCTGTGGCTCCCAGGAATGCCCAGTGATCGAATTCAGCAGACACAGGGGCTCTGGGGCAGAAGGTACTCAGCCTACCCTTCTCTCCCAGGACTCCCTCCAGACACTAGAAGGACCTGGGACTCCCCTGGCACATGGGATGGGGTTCAAGTCAGGGCCAGTGGACTCACAGATAGGTTACCCTGACCAACATTTTGGTTACTCCAGGATTTCATGGAGCAGAGAAATGGTCTTGAAGAATCTCCAGGTGACTTGTCCTTACCTCTTGAAAAACTTGTGGCTCCCATCTAGGTGAGGGGGTGAACTTGCAAGCCACAATTAAAACCACAATTTAAAGTGTAAATTAAACAAAATAATGTTATTTACTGTTAACACATTCACACACAACTCTCATGTTGTTTTGTACTTTTAGAGAATGAAGAATATGAAAATATTTATTCCTCTGAGCTAGCCAACATAAAAATGTACTAATGTTAAAAGTATTAAAATCAGTTTTACTACTAGGAAATGTTAACAGAGGACATTAAATCCTTCACATATTTGTAGATTAGAAGATATAATTATGGGTCTGGGGTACATTTTTTAACTTCCCATATGGTAAATGTGTCACAGGGCAATGTAGACTCTGGGAATATCTTATAGAAGTGGATAAAGAGTTTGTAAATCAAGAAAGTCTCTTAGCAAAGCCTTGGTGGTCTGGAAAAGCCGAGAGGACATGGGTTCATCGCCAGGAAGGATAAATTCTGGAAAGTTTTTCTCCTAGCAGTTTATAAACTTCTAAGAGCAGCCAAGGTGAAAGGATAGTACTAAAAAAATGCATATATTCACATATATGTAAAACCAACTATTTAATCAAATGGCAACAGAAAAATACACAATTACAAATTCATAATAAAATTCAAACAATATGTGAAGAAACTAACCAAAGTAACGGAAAGCCAAACTTTGGTTACATATAAATCACTGCTGGATACTGAATTGTATTACTCTTACCTATTTATCTAACCTTAGACCTACAACATACATAATCAAGCTCAAAGACACACGTGCACACACACATACATGTGTGCACATGCACATGCACACAATTTAAATAGCTAAATGAATTAAGCTAAAATTTACATAATACCTGAATGAATGATGATGCAAAGTAAGTGTTTTCTAAAAGAATGTCTACTGTCACCTTTGGAGAAAGAACATGGAAGTTAAAACTGAGTGTGTTTTGGGGTGCTTGGGTGGTTCAGTTGGTGAAGCGTCTGACTCTTGATTTATGCTCAGGTCATGATCTCAGGGTCTTGAGATAGAGTCCTGCATCGGGCTCTGCGATCAGTGTGGAGTCTGCTTGAGATTCTCTCTCTCTCCCTCCCCAGCTCATGCTATCTGTATCTCTCTCTAAAATAAATAAATAAAATCTTAAAAACAAAACAAAACAAAACTGAGAGTGTGTTTGTTTGTTTTACTTAGGGAAAACATGCTATAGTTTAATTGTTCATTTTCATGCTCTGGCAGTAAAGAAAAATATTTATATTTTGGGAAAATTAAAAAGTTATTTGCTATGATTGCTGCCTTTTTCAATGACTTGTTTTATCCCTCAGAGGATTTTTGCAGTAGGCTGTCAAGAAAATCACTTGCAAGATGGCCATATGACAATGGCCACTGACATCGGCCAAGAGGTTCATGAGCCTAAATGCCACATCCCACAGCCCCTACTGCTCCTGTCCAGTTCCATGGGAAGTGGGGGTAAGATCTAAGGGAGGGGGTAAACATAACCATGATGTCAGTGATTCAAATTCAAAAAGCTTTACTGTCTGAGCATACATGACTGCCATCATCATTTTAAAAAGCAAATGTGGTTTGATCCTCGGGAACTATACCAAATACCAGAAACAACAGTTCTGTTACAATCTGGAGGATGCAATGAGCACCAGAAAAGTATCTGCAAAAAACACATGTGTATGAGATATAAGACAGAGGTATAAGTCTATGGATGAATTCAAAGGAGTTGTTAACATGGAGGGTGGCTCTGAGAAATTTGGTGGGATGAAAAAACAACATGTAGATGTGATCTAATTTTTGTTTAAAACTGTCAGACAAGCTGGCTAATGAGATAAAAATAGGGCCTTGGGAAAGATGGAAGGAAGGAAGGAAAGAATAAGATGAAGACCTAGTGGTAAGAGACATGTCACACCTTTCTCTTCTCTTGCAGGCCTGAAGACTCCATGCTGTCCTGGTCCCTAGTCTGTCCCAACAGCCTGGGGTCTCTGGGGGAGGGCGGGGGGGGCGGGATGCATCATTTTGGGTGACAGCTGGATCACCTAGCATAGTACCTGCTATAAAGTCACATTCAATCCAATGACTGATAATGCAAAAACAATATTTTATCAAAATTTTCACAGTTCCCTTCTATGTTAGTAAAACCCAACATTATTTTCCTCTTTTAACTTTTCTCTCTCTTTCCCTCCTTTCCTCTCTCTCTCTCTCTTTTTAAAAGATTTTACTTATTTATTTGACAGAGAGAGACACAGCAAGAGAGGGAACACAAGCAGAGGGAGTGGGAGAGGGAGAAGCAGACTTCCCACTGAGCAGGGAGCCCGATGTGGGGCTCGATCCCAGGACCCTGGGATCATGACCTGAGCTGAAGGCAGACGCTTAACGACTGAGCCACCCAGGCGCCCCTCCTCTCCTCTCTCTTAATTCAGGAGTCTCATGGTGATTTTATCATCGCTGTTAATGCTACAGAAAAAAAAAATCAAGTGGGGTTCTTTTTTATAATTATTGTTACATATTTTAAATATGCGATCTCTGCTAATTAGCAAGATTCAAGGTACAGATGCCAATTATCAGGAAATAATTCCCAAAATACATAATCTAAAAAGGCTGACTTACAAAAAGAAGTATGCCTTCCCAAATTATATCGTTTCAAAATGAGTTTAGAAATTCCTCCCCTACCATCAGAACTCCAAAGTGTGTGAGGTGGTTACATGAGCAGACTGTCTCGCTCTCGTCTGAATCTCTGTGTGCCACACATCCTGACGTGTTCCAAAATCCAGAACCTTCTGTAAAGAGGAAGTCCACAAACATTGTGAAAATAACAGCAGGCCAGTTCCTTTTCTATAATGGATGATATCTTCTTTAGGAAAATATGCCTCAGTCTTTTCTGCCTTGCAGTTTATCACTCAAACAGATACTATTTATTCTTAAAGCTGCCAATACTTAGAATAATTGAGATTCCTGGAATCACAGAATGTTAGTGCTGGATTGGCAGCGAGAGATTATCTAGTCAGGGGTTTTCAACTGTGCTCTACTGAAGATCCTGCAAAAGTTTGATTCTAGTTTAACTTTTAATGTATTACAAAATAAACTTCCATGAAAAGAGTATCCCCCTTTCAAATATGTTACATACTAATGAAGTCTCTGAAGATCAACGCATTTTTTTCCCCTTGTTTCAGCCTCTACTTTTGTAAAGACATCAGAACTAACAGAGGTCAGTGTTCTTCTAACATGCTGTTATGTACACAGCAATCACACGCAGTGACAACTTATTATAAATGCCTTGAATGCATCTTATCTGACTTTTATGGTAGGATGTGGAATATGAACAACTCATATATTTGAAGAATATTTTAAGTCTGCAAGGTGATTTCATTTTTAATTATGTATCCAGTAAATCCACTTTCTCAAAACTGTGCAACTAGAAACCAAACAACAACAAGATTTTCCAGTTGTGATAAGGCGTATCAAAAACAGAGGTTGGGACACCTTCAGACTCCATTTCTACCAAGAAGCAGCTTGTGCTGGTGCTGGTTTAGAGTTAGTCAGGATAATCCCACTGGGGATCCCCAAGGGAAGGTGACCCTTAGGGGGCAGAGGAGGGAGTTTTCATAGCTTGTCCTTCCCATCAAAGAGATCCCCACAACTTTTACCTAGACTTCTCCCTTAATTTTGCCTTTTTCTCTTAATTGTTGAATGTCATTTTGGAGGCAGTTCATTTCTTTCAAGCAATATATATGTATTATAACCATTTCTTATTTATAGTCCTTTAGAATGCTTTCCCCATAATCTGAGGACTGGTAGCTAGATTCTAAATTGCATGCCTCATGCATATTAATGATCTCCTCAGAGGTGTCCTTAAAAGAATGAGATCAAGCATATATCGATATTCATCTAAAAGTGGCAATCAAAATGCACACTGTATTTTATAAATAACTGAAATCAAAGAGGTTGTTTGGTAAAAAAAAAAAAAAAAGTCAAGTTTACTTATTTCTTCTTGCAATGAGTAAAAAGTTGCAGAAATTCGGTTCACTTCCCAACTACCTAAACTAAACTTTGCAGTTCAATTGTCATCACACTTACACTGTGACTCACTCTGGCTGGGGTGGAATGAAAGGAAACGGGGGTGTCTAACAATGTTTAAAATTCAGTTGTTCTTAAGACAGCCAATATTTTAAAACTTACCGTTTTTGTTCAGATCCCAGAAGGCACAGATGGGATGAGGCACTGCCTATATTAACATAAGAATAAACATGCGAAATTATGTTTAAAATAAGTGAAAAATCTTATGATCTGAATATGGGAAAAGAGTCAAAATGCTAAGGTTTTCTACAAAGAAAGAGACCAGTATTAGTCATGCCAATATGACCTAGGAATGGCAGGCTGTCCAGAAGCATCTCCTCTCACGGAGACTTCAAGTGGAAATCAACCGTAACCTCATGAGGAATCATGCTTCCCATTTATCTAAAGGTTACTATATATGTCCCACCATAAAATGCTATCTTTAGCATTTATCAAAGCTCTTTACATTGTAACTTCACTTCATCTTCAAATTTCTCCTTTACATCTATGTGCCTGGAATTCAAAGTAGGGATTCAAACAGATATTTTGAACATCCATGTTCATGAGCAACATTACTCCCAAGAGCCAAAAGGTGGAAGCAATCAAAGTACTCACTGATGGATGAATGGATTAAAAAATGTGGGAGATATACATACATTATATATAGGGAATATTATCCAACCTTAAAAAGGAAGGAAATTCTGGTACATGTTATAACATGGATAAACCTTGAAAAAGATTATGTTAAATGAAATAAGCTAGTCACAAAGGACAAATACTATGTGATTCCAATTACGTGAGGTGCCTAGAATGGTTAAGTTCACAGAGAGGGAGAGTAAAATGGTGGTTGCAGGGGCCCAGGGGAGGGGAAATGGGGAGCTACTATGTAATGGTCCATGGTTTTGGTTGGGAAACATGAAGCAGTTCTGGGGACGAATGGTTCAATGGGCGCAGAACAACGGGAATGCACTAAAATGTCACAGAACGGTACACTTAAAAATGGTGAAAATAGTAAATATTATGTAATGTACATTTTACCACAATAAAAAAATTCTTCATGGATGAAGGAGCTGAAACAAAGGAAGCCAAAGGGTAGAACAAGGACGTCTCAGAGGGCTGGGTGACAAAGCCAGGCTAGTTCTTACATGACCTAACTTCCAAGCCTCAGTCCTTATCAGCCAGCTTCCTTCCTGCCTGCCTTCCTGTCTGCCTCATACGTGGGAGAATCATGAGTGGTGCCCTCTGGAAAAGAGGGGAGACCCTTGCCTGGCCTTACCTGGGACCAAAGGAACCCCCATATAATTTTATCAAATAAACAGCTGATAGCAAGGGTAATGAGGCAACAAAAAAAACATTTGCCAAGATTCTAGATAACTGCTAACCTCTCAAAAAAATGAGTCAACCCTGCCCTGTTTCCCTTCTGCTTTCCCAGTAGCAGTAATTTCTGACTTAAAAAAAAACAAACCCAAGCCTTTTAATGGCAGGATTGTGCAACAGCATCTGCATCTAATTTCTCAAAGTAATGTATCGTTCCTTAAAAGGAAAAGAGGGGTCCTTTTCTTCACTCCCATTCTTCTGATGACTGAATCCTAGAGGGGAACAATTCCCCCATTTGCCAACACTTACCGTGACATTACAGCACCACCTGCTTAACTGTTCTCCCCTTTTTGGAAATTTGCCCCCATCAAAAAAGTGCTGGTAGAATAAAGTTCTTACCATGTAGGGGGAAAAAAAAGGCCCCACACTTCTCTGTAATAGTCTGCCTCTGTTCCATTGTCCTTTGTAGCATTTTCTTACCTGGTTTCTCATATGTTTGATTTTAATTCGAACAGGGTCCTTCAGACCCTGGATAGTAATGTTTCCAATACTGCATGCCATCACATAACTCACTAAGGTGCCTTTCTTGGTTTCTACATCCTTTCAAAGAAAAAAAATGGATTATTAGTCAGAAGTACACTTGTATTTGATTTTGGTGCTCCCAGACACGCAAACTGTCAGCACTTTTTACATTTAAGATTTTCAATTATAGAACATCCTGTTTATAAGATCAAATTGCTGGCTTTCCTGAAAGAGCTTTGCTATTTCCCTTATTATAATAAATACATTGAGGGAACATTATGAGCTGATGCTGTAAGGCAATGTTCATAAAACCTCACTCTTGATTGCTATGACTGATGTCAGCCAGTTATCGTCTGAAACAATACAAACCCAGAAATAATGGACTCATAAAAAGCCATGAAACAATTAGATCATTTCCCTGCCCTAGAAAACAGATGAAGTTGTTTGCTGTTAGAGAAGTATAAAAGAAATATGGTGTGAAAAATTAAAAAACAACAACAATTCATCTTTCACATCCGTGCCAACAGCCTGACGTGTTTAGTAACTTATAATTCTACTAGATGAAGGTCCCATCCAAAACTTTTTTTTTCTAAGATTTATTTATTTGAGAGAAAGAGAGAGCAACCGCAGGTGTGGGGGCAGAGGAAGAGGGAGAGAATCTTATACAGACTCCATGCTGAGCGTGGATCCGAGGAGGAGGGGCTCAATCTCATGACTCTGAGATCATGACCCTGAGATCGTGACCTGAGCCAAAACCAAGAGTCAGACACTTAACTGACTGCATCAACCAGGCGTCCCCCATCCACAACTTCTACCTTCTCTGATTGTATACCTGCCACCCTCTGTAGCTTCCCCTTCAGAGACAAGGTTGTCAGGATAGCAAATCAGTGAATCCATGCTGCAAAATGATTGAGGCCAACAGCGTGTCTCTCGGCAAGACTATCTCTTACTCTTTCTTCCCTTGTGTTTTTCTTGTCAAACCTCCTGTATTTCTCTGTTGCAGCTTACAAATCAGTTTTTGGGAATAATTACAGGATTTCTTAAATGCCAAATAAATCTCAGCAATTCAGAATTCAGAATAGAGGTTTTTATTACTTATGTGTGATCGTGTTCAATAAAGTTGGTAAAGGCTTGTGGATAATGGCCTGTGGATATCCTGTCTTTTCTTTAAAAAAATACTCATACCTTGTTCACTATGTTAGGGGAGTACCAGAGAACCCTTAAAATCTTTTGACTCTGCTATAAATTTACTTTAAAAACCAAACATATGTTTCCTGATAATATGTTGATTGGGAGATGCCAAGAGAGAAGGGAAAGGTAGTGTGCAGAAAACAGACTCAAAATGAAACAATGACAGATTCTTACAGTTCTAACCTTTCTCCCAAACCCCCTCCCTCTGGGTTCAACCTCTCCTCTGAGCAGAGCCTCCTCCACCACCCATCACATTTTTGTGACACATACTGCATTTTTTGTTTTGTTTTTAAAGGTGGTGTTGTAAGCCTCAAATAATTTTTATAAATGCAGTTTTATCTGTTCATAGCTATTAAATCCTTGGAATAATTAGTAATCACATTCTTAATTTACTCAAAATTTTCATATAGCTTGTTTCTAAAACATTTGCTGAAAAAATTTTTAAATTAGAATTACTGTAAGTGATTTTATGGTATTTCTTTTTCTTATCTGTAATTTATATTGCCACGCCTCTGTACATGACAGTTGGAAGCAATCCTTGAGACTTGGCTATCTTCTCTTACACAGATGGCGTTGTTTGGTATATGCTGGGATCTTTAATTTAATAGATAACTTATTTTTTAAAAAGGGCTCAGTGAAACTAGTCTGGATCGGGTTGCACTTTCAAAGGAAACCAGAGGTCACCTGTGTTTGCTGGCAGTGTACTTTCTAGTATCTAGAAATGATGCCAATAAAAATGACAATAAGTGCTCAGCACAATGCCACCCCCCTCTGGGGATGTGTGAAGGCCAAAGGTCCTTTGAAATATTAATGGGAAAACTGATTAAAGCCAAGAATGCTGCTCATTATGTAAACAGTGCTTCCTGCTGAATTTAAAAAAAAAGAAAGAAAGAAACAAAAACCAAACCTTTCCTTTGGCACACAATTTCTTTGACTCTGAAGGTCTAAATTGCTGGAGAGCATAAAATATTTAACAAAAGGAATAATAAATAGTCCCTTCTCCACAAATTCCATTCCTAACTGTACTATGCAAGTCTTAATCTAGTATTTGATTTATTTAAAAAACCTAAATGAACACATCCTGTAATAAGCATATAATTCCCTGAAATAAAATGCTTAACTAATTATGTTAAAACTTTTCATTTTTGAAGATACAGTAGGTTAATTTCTCTATGCCTCTTGATATATTTTCAAGGAATCCAAACTTTCATTTTTTTCCTTCTGAGCAAAGAAACTCAATTTGCAATTGAAAAATAATTTAATGAACCCGTACCTGGAAAAGTCCAGTTTTATTGAAGAAAGTAAACTGTGCTCTTTTAACTAATACAGAATCTTCTTGACTTAAATCCTCAAGTAAGTTTGGAGGCAAAATTACAGAAGCCAATGGATCCATTTGTCCACTCTCAAAATCCATCTGTCACACACAGAGAGATACACAGGTCGAGTAATGACAAATTACCATGGTAACTAATCCACATCTGAATGAGGCAGGCAAGGGCTACTTGGTTAGGGCTGGGGTTTCCCTTTACCTCCACTGGAGTCACTGCTGCCCTGAATGAACCTCTACCGACAAAAGCCTGGATCTCATCTGGGTTTTGCAAATGTAGAAAAACAGAAGACACACTGATTGTAAGGCAAACTGAGAAATTAACAAATCGGTTAACCTCTTCAAGTATAAGAGTGAGATTTACACTTAATAGACTTTGAGCTTTTCTCAAAACACCTAGTGAAAGATAACTACAAAAAAGGAAAAAAACAAGATCGGAGTTGATTTGTCTGATTGCTGAGACTGAGTATCTCTGCACAGAGGAAAAGCAGCAGAAATTTTATGAATACTCTTGGATATCGTCCTTCCCTGAACCCACAGATCAGGCTCAAACGTGTCTTCCCATAAATGGATTTGGAATGAGACTGAGGCTGACCAAGTTTTCACTCTTAAATGTGAAACAGAAATATCCAAAAGAGCCACTACTCTCAAGCAGAAAAATGTCCTTCCTTTTATCCAGATTCTTAAATATTCCATCTTGGTTTATCTCCCGAGAAGAGAATCAGCACGCACCACTGTGTGCTCTCCCGTGTCAAGGATGATGTTATGATCATTTCATTTGCCCATGTGGCTAACACTAATGTACAGTACGAACTTGAAGAGTATCTGCTGGAAGGTCGCTCCGCAGGGCAGAGAGGCTCTCCATTAACCTGTCCAGCCTCATCACTGCCCACCCTCCTCCCAGGTTCACGCCACTGGTCCTCAGCAAAGTGCCATTCAAAGACCAGCACAATCAGCAACGCCTGGGAACTTGTTCCAAGTGCGAACTTTGGAGATCAACCCAGGACCTACTAACTTAGAATCTCTGGGGATGGGAGCCCGCCATCTGTTCTGACAAGCCCTCCAGGTGGTACAATGCAGTTTGACAACCACTGGCGTGGTTGAATACATGACACGTCTTCCCACTCGGGCCCTGAATAAAGCCCTTCCTTCTGACTGAATGGATCCCCCCCACCACTCTCAATAGGGGTTTCCCACTGATGGTTGAACACTTAGTTCCACCATCACCTCTTGTAGAAGGTAAGCTGACCACCCCGTCACATGGGTTCTAAAAGGACACCTCCCCTCGGTGTCCACGTACCTGTGGCTACTGCTATTATTAACCTAGCAAGTGTCTTGACCTACCTGCCTGCCACCCCGCCAACCAAGATCTTCAAGCAGAAACTGGTAAGTGATCAGATAGTGTTCCTTTGTCTAATTAATTAAAATTAAAGAAACCACTGGCTCATTACCTGGAAATAGGATTCATTATTGCTTGGAAGACCGATGCTAAAATTTGAAATTTCATTTGTCCCTGGGGACAGGGATGAGACTCCAAGAGCCAAATTCCGAGTTGTAATATTCACATGTGATGTGCTACTTAGGTCTATCTTGAAGGCCAATTCATCAATTGTCTTTAAAGCTCTGAAGAAATGACAATACCACTGTTAAGTAATACGTTTTATGTACTTGTACACAGGTGATTTGCAGCAGGACAAAATACAAAACAAGTAAAGTTGTCTTTAAATTTTCTGACCTTAACATAAATACCAACAAAACTACCCCAAACCACAATAACATCAGTTTAAACACAGAATCACAGTGATGAATGCATCCTCAAGAGAAATGTTATGCTTTAAGGACTACCAACAATGAAATCACCCTAAACAAATAACTGTTTTTCATCTCCTAGCCTTTCTTTCCTCATATAAAAAATACCTTTTCTATTTTATAACTGGTGAGAATCAAAGGAAAATAATGAGGTAAAAGCATTTATTTGGACTCTAAGACACTATAAAAAGTTTGTAATTATTATGTAGATAAGGTAAGTAAAAAATACATTTTAACAAATATAAAACTTTCACTGAAGAAATTTGGTTGAAAGGAAGAAAACAAGAATTATTAACACATTAAATGAAATAACTGGATGCACACTAATTGTGTAAAAACAGGTACATTTCATATGCCCTGGGCATTTTCATTCCTGAAGTACAATGATCACACAGCTATGGCATTTCCATGTCACAGTCCGTAGGACAGAATTTACAGTGACCAAGTTATGCCTAAAAGATGGGAGCTCAATGTTTGCTAAGTGTCTCTTTTGCAATCAAAGTGTCCTATGCTAATATATATAATAGCTTATCTGGTGAATTAATCCCAATTAACGTTTTTTCAGATGAGAAATGACATACTGATTATGTTTTTCTGGAGCTATTTATTTTTCTTGCCAGATGGACAATCCTAATCATTTTGTAAATTGTATTTCTCAAGAAAGAAAATAGAGGACTTTGAAGTTCACTTTGTGAATGATCTTGGGAACTACCCATGGATCTTCTGGAGATTTAAATGATCAAAGCTGGCCACCAAGCATTCAGATAACTGAGAAATTACATAACATGTATCCAATAAATTTTACTCTCCAGAAGAAAAAAAAATACTTACTCAGAAGAAGACTCAAGCAAGTCACTGTCTGGACTGGTTAAGATATTGGAAAATATATTCATTAAAGTTGAACCAAGCGTTATATCAATGTTTTCTTCTTTATTCACAATCCTTTTGACCTGTTCTACAATGCTGGTAATATTGGCTGAGCTTAAGGTCTGCCCATCACTAGTTAAATTTAAAATCTGGTTGGCCACTTCATTTGCTTCTCCTAAAAAAAGACAGCAAAAAAACAAAACACAAAATTCTGAACATTTCAGGAATCCAAAACATACTATGATAGTTCCACTTCAGAGTCCCAACTTTGGAGGGACCAATATTCATATATAGTTCTAAGAGAAATGTCCCCAGAATCACAAAAAATAAGTGTATAGCTGCTGATTAAAAATAATACACATGTAGGGGCCCCTGGGTGGCTCAGTCAGTTAAGTGTCTGCCTTCGGCTCAGGTCATGAACCCAGGGTCCCGGGATCTACCAGCAACTGGCTCCCTGCTCGGTAGGGAGTCTGCTTCTCCCTCTGCCCCTCCCCCCCAGCTCACGCTCTCTCTCTCTTTCTCAAATCAATAATAAATAAAATCTTTAAGGAAAATAATACACAACTATAAAACACTGACACAAATATCAATTTATTTGTTACATGTTCTCTAAAATTATTTATTTTTCATCTCTAACAGAATAAGCAGAACAAAAAGTTATCAGGAAAAACACAAAAGTTTTACAAAAAGAATCAGGAAAAACAAGAATTTCCTACCTTAAGTGAAATAATCATTTGCTTAAGCTTTTATTATTACAATGGTTATCATATAGCAGAAGAATATATCTGAAGAGGATGAAAACTATGAAGTCATTTCATTTTGCCTGTGACAACTGAAGGAAAATTGCTCACTTACTTGAACAGTTGGAGAGATCAGGAGGCCCCCAGTAGGCTACAGATGTGTTGGCAGGGTCACGATAACTAGGGAACAAAACAAGGTATTTCAAATATTTGACATAAATGACATTTTAATTGACAAAATTGGTTAATAATAAGTTTGAGAATTTGCCTTGATGTCTACGTAAACTTCATTTGAAAATAAAATTGTAATACATTGAACTAAAACTCTCACTGGAAATCCTTATTAGAAAAAAATCAGGTGCCATGCATCCTGGAAACACAATACTAGCAATAGCATGTGTCCTAAGATAGGGTATATCCGGTTACTAAGGTTAAAGGCATATTCGGTAATGTGGGTCAAATACCTCTTTAAGAACTTTGATAAAATCTGATTTTGATTTCACATAACTCTGTAAAGCAGATTATAATCCACACTTTATAGGTGAGGAAAAAGACAGAGAAATCAAAGAATATTCCGAAGTCTCACAGCCAGGAAGGGGTAGAGCCTTGTTTCAAACTAGGGTCAGTAACTCTCTAGAGCCCCTTCTTTCCTTCCTACCATGTGTCAAACATAGCAGAACGTGCAAAGTTTGGGCAGTTTCCATTTTTGACTCCCCTGCCCCCCACCCCTGTGAGAAAACTCCAACTGGGGGTGAGGAGTGTTCAGTGAATCCTCTGCAGTCGACCTGTCTGAGGTTTCTGTTAAACACTTAGGAAAACTACACCCTTACAATCTGCTTTAGCAGCCTGCCCTAACCTAGGATCCTGAATTTAGTCCCTCTTTTTCTACCTCTTCTCACTCCAACAATAACCATTCCCAATTGTTTAAAGGTTTTGGAATTTCAGACACATGTTCCAAAGCTGGAAGTTAGCACTGTTCATCCACATGCTTTGCTTTAGAGTCACCCTGCGGTTTCCAGATTTCCCCATCTTTCTTTGGAGAAGGTTAAATTAGCATGGTGCTTGGAGCAAAAAGCTTTTCTGGGTAACCTACCTGCCTTTTTACCCTTCATGAAGTGTGGTTTAGGCGTTCACAGACTTTCCTGTCCTTCCCAATCACTATACAATGTATGGGGACTATCGTGCAGCCAGCCTGTGTAACCCAGGCAGGTAGACAATGTGCAGCTTTACTGGCAAGATTCAATAAAAAGCATTACCATGTCCGTGAAGCATAAAAGCCCTGTTTTCCTGGACAGGGAAAGTTGTATACAGAAGGTGGGATGAGTGGCCAGTGATAGCCTTTGGGATCCTCATCAGCAGGACATAAACCTATGTGAAAATAAGAGCCAACACAGAAATGTTAATCTATTCTTTGAAGTAAAAGGTAAAAGATAAGAGCAAAATGATGATGTTGGTACTTAGGTATTTATTTCATGTAATGCTAAAGTACTGTTTTTTTTTTAATGTTCAGAATTTGTAAACCTTTAGAAATTAGGAACAATAAACATTTAGTACACCTGAGACACAAAAGTTATTCAAATCAAAGTCACACACTTATGGGAGTATAATCATTAAACATACATCATTATTCTAATATAAACTGTTAGCCGGTAACATTAGTAAAATAAAGATGTATTCAAAAAATGAACACCACATACAATGACGATCCTGAAAAATTCAAAATGTAATATGATCTTTTTCCAAAGGGGAAAGCCTACAAAATGATGCATCAATCCTGTTGTCATTGAGTCATAAGCATATTCTATGGAAAACATTTCCAGCTATTCTGAAAGCACCGATTGCCTGGAAGTCTGCTGGGGGGATGGAGAGAGGGGACCCATTAACAAGTGCCACATGCCCCTCACCTGCGTCTTCATCCTCAAATCATCCCACCTGTTGTTGGAAAACTCTCTGGGCAAGAGTCATGACACCAGTAATTCCGATTTTACCATTTTAAAAATATCCAAATAAAAGCAATATATCAACGACAATAAAATCATGTCATTTCAGGACTGAAAAATAGCCATTTAAACCAGACCATTGGGAACTGGTATTAGAGTCTCCAACTTAACATTTAAAGAAATTTCCCATCTACATTCTAACCCTTAACATCACCAGGGTTTGTTCTTTAATATTTTCAATTGGTAGAAACTTTTCCTCATAGGCCCACTTTCAGAAAAACAATAAAGCACAGAATTTATTTATTATGTTATGTTAGTCACCATAAAAATACATCATTAGTTTTCGATGTGGTGATCCACAATTCATTGCTTTTTATAACCTCCTGTGCTCCATGCAGTACGTGCCCTCCTTAATACCCATCACCAGGCTCACCCATCCCCCCACACCCCTCCCCTCTAGAACCTTCAGTTTGTTTCTCAGAGCTCATAGTCTCTCATGGTTCATCTCCCCCTCTGATTTCCAACCCTTCATTTTTCCCTCCCTAATGTCCTCCATGCTATTCCTTATGTTCTACAAATAAGTGAAACCATATAATTGACTTCCTCTGCTTGACTTATTTCACTTAGCATAATCTCCTCCAGTCCCATCCATGTTGATGCAAAAGTTGGGTATTCATCCCTTCTGGTGGCTGAGTAATATTCCATTGTATATATAGACCACATCTTTTTTTAAGATTTTTTAAAAAATTTATTTATTTGACAGAGAGAGACACAGCAAGAGAGGGAACACAAGCAGGGGGAGTGGGAGAGGGAGAAGCAGGTTTCCCATGGAGCAGGGAGCCTGATGCAGGGCTTGATTCCAGGACCCTGGGATCATGACCTGAGCCAAAGGCAGATGATTAAGGACTGAACCACCAAGGTGCCCCTGGACCACATCTTCTTTACCATTTGTCTGTTGAAGGGCATCTTGGTTCCTTCCACAGCTTGGCTATTGTGGACATTGCTGCTATGAACACTGGGGTGCATATGGCCCTTTTTATTACATCTGTGTCTTTGGGGTAAATACCCAGTAAAAGCACAGAATTTAAATTAAGTCGTATAAATTATATGTCTAGGTAAGCAGAGAGTTTTCTGGGATTCTGCAGCCTCCTAGAACAGAGATGAGACTGGCCGGCCCTCACAGAGTTTCCCTGTCATATATAATCCACCATTCATCCAGCTACTCCTTGTGGAGACTCATTAGTGAAAGGTAGCATGTGTACTCTCCCCTGCCTCAAGAAGCCCCATTTGTTAATAAGCAAGCACTTTCCCATAGAGGTCAGAAACTGTTCATGATGATGACATCAACAATGATGATTTGCATTCTGCCACCTCTATGAGTTCTCTGTAACTGTGTAAGTGGACACATTACATATAGGTAGTTCCTTATCCAAGCCAGGGATACCTGCTTCTTTATTACACTGGGATTCTGGCCTCAGTGGGAATCAGCCTCTTAGAGACTGAGAAATACTTGCTTCCCTGTGTGTGTGTATAAGGAAAAGAGTCAGTTTCCTTTTCTTTTGATCTCTATTAATATGTTTAATCATAATATAATCATACAACATTAGAATAATATCTTCACTTCTTATTGTCCATATTTGTGATCATTAATTTTTCTACAATATCCCCATCAAACCTCATTTTTTTCAAGTATTTAAGTGCTAGGGAATGTGCTGCGTGCTAGGGGAGGTGGGAAATGAGGGTGTTAAAAAAAAAAAAACTAACGGGTGTTCTCAAGCCAGAGGAGATTCCTGTTTAAAGAAAATATCCATAAGAACGTGAGTCCAGTCAAATATTATGGTCTTCTAATTTGTATGGTGCTCTAGGTCTCCGGAAAGCATGAAGTGGAGGCTCAAAGGCAAGGACTCCTATTTATGCATGATCATGTCATACAATTCATCATAGAAAAGATGACTTTGGGCTGTCTTTAAAACAATGATGTGATAAGCAGGTGGATGGTGGGAGTACAGAAGAGCAATGCAGGCAAGACACGGAAAGGCACAAAGGAGCATGGCGTGTCTGAGGAGGTGCACGGAGTACCATGTGTGTGGTTGGAACTCAGCATGTGAATGGTGTCTAGGTAAGAACTGACTCTCAATCCTGGATAACTCCCAGATTTCTGGCCTATTCCTGTAAAGACAGTGCTATCATTCATGAAGACAGAAAACATAAGAGGAGATGTTTTCTAACAAGAAATTGCCTTTTCTAAGATTTACCTCTTTAGAGTTTCCGTATGTCCACATACACACTCTTTATTCCTGAAGTTGAAGCCAATTCTGGTCAAGGCGATCCTGGCACTTCGCTCATATTCTTAGTTTTTCCAGAATATGTCCCCCAAATAAGTGTAAACTCTCCTCTGCCTCTTTCATTCCCTTAGATTCATATCTCTGATGTTAACCATGTCACCCATTTGTTACTATGCCACCAATATGATGAATCTCATCATCAGGAAAAATAGTTTTAAATAGGCAAACAATGCACAGAGGAAGAATATTGTTGCTGCTTCAAAAAAACCTGAAGAATTATATCAAATACATATAAAAAAAGGCACTTACCCAGTTGCTTCACACTCACTGCATATAGCCTCAAGCCTTCATCCAGGGACTCATTATTTTTTAAGAGCTTCTGTTGAATGTCTTTTCCTTCTAAATTGGGATTGTTGGTAGCATTGTAAACTAGAAGGGCCCAAATCACCAACCTAAAAAAACATTTCAGATATAATTGTTGGAATTGCTGACTGGTTGATTTTTTTTTTTTAATTTTTTTTATTTTGTGGAAAAACAGAACATTTGGATATGGTAGGTAAGAGGGATGACCCTGAAGTATTGAGACAGGAGAAATAGGCCAAGGCACTCAGAGACTCCTCGGGCTGCATAAATTGTAATGTTAAAAATATCTCAGTATGAATAGATTATATAGGATATCACATGTGTAATTCTATCATATCATACTGTTATCACCTCATTTAAGAAATATTTTAAGTAATATTTATATCATACAGGCAAGAAAGGGTCATACTTGTGGTTATTTCTACATTGTTTCTTTGGAGCCAAAAATAAAGTTTTTTAAAAAATTAAATTCCAACAAATCTGACTAAACTGATCATTTGACTTTAAAATTATTAAGGGTGTTACTGTTTACAAATGTGTTAAACTTTCTCCAGAATTGTGATACTGATTTTCCATCTCCGTGAAGCATTTGCAAGTATGTTGTATGGTGAAAAGTTACAAAATAAATACTTAAAATATACATGGTGATTGACCCGCACATTACAGAAGGAGTTTACAGACTGTCTGACCTTGAATGTCTTTAAAAAGAAAATATTTCTATGAGAAGCAGAGATGTATCTGAAAAGCCCCATCAAAACCTTTGGTTCTACATTTTGAAATAATATAATTTTCTATTCCACTGTGATCATAGCTATAGTCAATAGCAGAAATCAAAACATGCCAAAGTCAAGGCAGGAGCACTATTTTTGAAATAAGTATTGCCAGTAGAGAGGCATGGCATATTGTACTTATAAAATTATGTAGGTATCAATAAAAATGAAATAGAATATTGATATATTTGTGGTACTAAAAAAAGAAAGACTAAATGAAATCTATGTTATTCAAGGTTAGGTGAAATTAAAGAAGAGCTCCATTTTTTCTCCCTAAATATCTGTGTTAATTTCAAAGACAAAGTACGGAACTGTTCTCATAATTCAGTCCGAAAAGCTATTTATCTCAAAAATGATCTAATCCCCAGTGTTCACGTATAAGTCATACTTCAGGTTGAGCGAGACATAGATGTAAATAGAATGGTGAACTGTGATAACTTAATAATTTTTTAAATGGCCTAGGAAAAGTATCCTCTGATTAAATTATTGTTGGAAGATAAACTTTACTACTTCAGTTACTGAGAACTTAGCGTTGAAAACATGACCTTTTACTTTTCTTGAATATTGAGACCATAACGAGCACAATGCATTGTGACATACTGAATACCCAAATTCAGCAATTCAAGAACGGCCATGCATTTTCACAGGTCTTATCTCTGTATTTTCCTCTCTCATCTTGAAAACTGAAACTAGTTTATGGTTCCCCCAAGTTCCATCAGTTGTTACCATCAATCACCCTTTATTTGAATAAACCCGTCTGTGGCTTTGGTTTCCTGTCTGTCTAGGCAATAGAGGATGAGGCATTATCTGGGGTTATGGTCTATGTTAAGTGTTACAACCAAATTGAAAGAAAAAGTTTGGAAAAAAGTGTGTGTGTAAAACTAGTAGATGGTGGTTTTGAGAAAAACTATGAGGGACTACAAAGACTCATCAATGAGCATAAGAGCAGTAGAGGAGAAAAAAAGGGGAAAGACTATAAGAATACATTTTAAAACAATTTTAAAATGATTAAAACATTTTTAAACATTAGGCTTTTAAATAAAAAAAATTGAAACAAAGAGTCAAAGATTTATACCAAAGAAAAACTAAACATGTGGACTTTCCCATATACATGGTCTTGGTTCCCTCTCCCTATAATTTTCTGTGAAGTTACCTGTTGGTTTGACAGACAGAAAACTGAGATTCCATGAATTTAAATGTTTTTCAAGCAAGTTTCTGAGGTACTGACATACACTAATGATGGCTGGCTTTAGTATTACTGGGTGGTAGAAGAATCACAGGAGGTCCACTAAAATGGGCAATGCTGACTTCCTGAAGAGGATTCGTGATTGGTGATACCCCAAACTAGGGCAGCCTTAATTGTTAGACAAAGTCTCCAGCAAAGGGATCCAGATCTCTGATCCGCTATTCAAAGCTCAACATGATCTAGCACTACAGGTTAGAGAAAAAATTATTTGGCTAAGTAGAAAAGTCCTGTCACCATCAAGAATATAGTATTAAAATAATTATTCTGTTCTTCAGTTCATAAAGGAAAAGGAACAAAGAAGATAAAAACAAATTTCCCTCATCAGATGGCAAAAGCCGGTCTGTTGAATACATATCAAAATGAAAAGTTTCAATTATAACTTAAACACATCTGCTTTTCTAATATTAAACAGAAAAAGAAAAAAAAATAAGAAGAAACTCTTTGGTCAACTCTCATATGAAATTCTATTTTTATCTTCTCCTAGTAAGAATATATCACCTGAAAAGAAGTATATTCCATCATTATTGTTGAAGTCTGTAAAATCAATTCAGTCCATTGAAACTGAGCCAGACTTACATGAACTTTTGCTTTTCAACTATTTTTTTCCCCTCTTCTTTGGAAATGTAATAGACTACCTGAACACAGCTAAATTTATTTAGGAGTTTAAGTTGTTTTTAATTACACAGTACTCTGAACAGCTAGCCTTTATATGCCAACTGATTCTGTATGGTGGACAGATCTGCTGAATTACCTGCCTGCTTAAATCACGGTCTAGATAGAAATTTTAAAATGGAGACTTCCAAAAATTAGCTATTACCCATATTATTAGATGCTACTGTACATAAGTACCTTACTTAAAGCTGTAACTCTCCTTTTGTTTCTTTGATGGTCTTCTCAAAATTTCAATGAAGAGGTAATGGGTTATCATAAATAAACTAAAAATACTAAAAATAATAACTCCTACATTTTAAATGTTCTACTTCTGAATTACTTCTCATTGGGTGTACGCCTCTATCCATTCTAGTATTTGATGGTCTTAACTACCAAAAAAAAAAAAAATTAGCGCACTAGTGCTAAAGAAGTAACTTAAAAGTGCTACCTGATTAAAATGTTTCTCTCTCATCCCATTATTTTCATTTTTCTACGGGTCAAAAGAGAGAGCTAGAGAAAGGATGTTACACTTTCTGTAAGACTTTGTCAGTGTTACCTTTGATCATTCACAATGCTTCTCTTGACTTTAATCTTGTCCTCTCCCGTGCTCTGGTGAAAACTATAAATACAAATATATATATTCATTATCGACCTCATCTGCCACATCATCAGCAACAAAATTTGAGGAAGTAAAAGAAAGAGGCAAAATGAACATTCTAAGCCAGTATTTCCAAATATGTGTCCTGAGGTTCCAGTTCTTTTCATATGCCCGAGATTGAATATCTCCATTGTCAAGTAAATTTGGCAGCTGTGCACCCTTGCTCTGTTTTCAAGATCCTCGATGCATGTTGGTTATACTAAATAATCTGAGATGTTCACATGTATAGAAATCTGTTTCAGTTTGTTTAAGAATGTACTTCCTGAGCCTATTCAACATGTGATTCCTTTTTCTGTGTTAACTTATGATGTCTCTTGGGTTCACAGAATATCTGTTTAGGGTTAGTGACATACACTTTTGAAAACTAATTTAAAACTATGAAAACAAGGTACAGAGGAGGATATGTGGATGATACTATTTGCCAGGCAGTAAAAGTATTTAAATAGGATAGCAAAAGATATTTCTGAAAAGCTAGGTGCAGACTCTAAATGTCTTATCTTATAGAAAAACAGTCTCCAGGGGCGCCTGGGTGGCTCAGATGGTTAAGCATCTGCCTTCGGCTCAGGTCAGGATCCCGGGGTCCTGGGATCGAGTCCCGCATCGGGCTCCCTGCTCCCTGGGAGCCTGCTTCTCCCTCTCCTTCTCTCTCTCTGTCTCTCATGAATAAATAAATAAAATCTTAAAAAAAAAAAAAGAAAAACAGTCTCCAAACTGGGGGTGCTATCAATGGTTCACTGGGGTGTGAGATGAAACCAAGAGCACTTCTATATATATTTGAATATCTTCTTATAATCTGTGATATATTTATAACATACACTGGTTAAGTAAGACACAAATTTATTTAAAATCACAAATATATTTTGGGAATACACACGGATTTTTTTTTAAAGATTGGGATCCATGATCAAAAAAAATTAAAACCAATTGCTGCATCATTGAAGATTTTCGTGCAAAGAAATGACATAATATAGAGTTGTTTCAGAAAGACTATGAATATGGTGCATGTGTGTATGTGTGTACTGGTGTCAAGTGTGTGGGGTATAATCAGAGAGATGAAGAGTAGCATTAAATTAGACACTAATTTTTATTTTTCAAATCATTCATTCTGTCATTTACCTGATATTAACCACATAAACAGTGTAGTTCCAATTTTGGAAGGTTGAATTGAGCTGAAAAATACAATGGAAAAGGGTGAGTTCTGGTAATACTTTCTAAAAAAAAATCTGAATCTAGTTTATTTCCCCCAAAAGATAAGTTGTTATTGGAATAAGACCCTGGGAAAATCCCAGACAGCCAGCGGAGTGTAAGAAAGGTAAAGATAACAGTCACTGGATCATTATATGCCAAGAACTTTACACAGGTTGTTTCTTCCATCTCACAACAACTAATGAGATAGGTATGATCTGCTCCCCCACCCTCATAGATGAAGAAACTGAGCTTCATGGAGAAGAAATAGCTTGCCCAATGTCCCCAATATCCCCAATGTCCCCAATGTCCCCAACTGAAAAGTAGCAGATCCCAGATTGGAGCCCAAGTCTATTTGTCTGGAAACACTATACTTTCCTCTCTAGCCCATATTACAATGGGCCCCATTATAATGGTTCTTCGAATTAGCCATAACACTGAGGGTTTCACAGGAGGATGAGCACAGTAAACATCATCCATATTCTTCATTCAACAAACACTGTAGTACAGTAACACATGTTCTTCTAGTTAAGTATCACCTCATAAGAATATCAGTAAGAAAAATTACAGATTAACAATACAAACCTTTAAAAACACAAACAAAATGAGTTCAACATTATTGGGAATATTATGTTCTTATTATGTGGGTTATTTAACGGTCTTATGGGTCTTAGCACCAGACTTTTTAAAGCAATGGATTATGGATTCCTCTCAATGTAAATTACAACCTTCCATGATGCACTGTGCAATACAATCACAAATGGGAATTCTTTACTGATAGGAAATCTTCCTATTTCTGTATCACCTCCAAAAGGTTTTTTAGGTCTTATTTCATACACACAGTTAGCCTTCCTTGCAAGCATTCCTAAAATTGAATGTAAATTCTACAAAGTGCTGACAAAAAGTATTAAATGATTTAAAAATTATAAACAGCAATAATATGAATCAGGGACACCACTTATGTTTTCTCTAGTATCAAGCATCTGCTTTGGTATCTTGCATCTTAAGTGAAAAGTTTCCAGCAAAGTTCAGCTTCAGATGAGAATGAAGTTACATTGAAAACTATGAATGTAATCAATATAAATGTAAAATTATAGGCTGCCTAAGGCACAGACTCTCCATGAATGTTAATTTCCCAGATTAATAATATTAGTAGTGGCTTATTTGAGAATGAAAATAAAGAATTTTATCTTTTGAAATCATTCTGACTTAAAACAAAAAGAAGAATTCTTGAAAGTAAATGGGTTGCAAGACATTGGGGAAGGTATGTGCTATGGTGAGCGCTGTGAATTATGTAAGACTGATGAATCACAAGCCTGTACACCTGAAACAAATAATACATTATATGTTAATAAAAATAAAGTTAAAATTAAATTAAAAAAAAAGAATAGGCTCTTTCTTTAAAGCTGCTCTCCGTTTGGAAATGAAACATACCTCCCAGTGTTTGAATTAATTACTGACTTTAATGTATCAGTCCAAAAAGTCAATAGCAGTATTTTTTGTTGACTTCTATTAGAGAATGTCGCTCTTCCCCTCAACTTTATAATAGAATTGTTATATACATGCTATTGTTTCCTGTGGTCAGCTTGTTTTAAAGTGTATTAAAAATAGGACTTTTCTTACTATAGACCCTTCAAAACAAGGCTGTATTGTTATATTAAGTTATTCTTCAAAGACAGAGAGAGAGTCAGTCACCACTACCTCTCAATGTATGATTTAACTTTGTTTTGCTACCAAGGGCATGTTTACTAGACACCTTCTGCATAAGAAAACCCATCTTTCTCAAAATGTATACTAGAGTGACTTTATTCAGTGTTTGAACTGTAATAGTATTATACATAAAAAGCAGTACAAAGTCCCACAGTATGCAGCACACAGAAAATAAAATAGAAAAAAAAGAAACCTATGAAAAATGAAATTTTTTGTTATGTAGACAAAAAAAACATAGGTGATATCTGTAAGGACAAGAAAACAAAATGAAGTTTTTTTCTTTTTACTGGAAATTACAAAAAAATTTCATTAATAGAATACTGATTAAATAAATTAGTATACCCTAAATCTCTATCAACAGAAGACTTGCTAAATTAATGACCAGACAGCCACATAATGGAATACTATGCACTGTTTTGAAAAAAAAGAAAAGGAAGGTCTCTGCACACTTTTGATGTAATTCTGGCAATAACAAAAATAAGCACAATGTAGAATGGTATGCAAAATATGTTTTTAGTGTAAAAAGGAGGAAAAAGAAGAATCTGTAGTCTTATTTACTTTTATATACACAAAGAAATTCAGGGGCAAAAAAAACAAACAAAGAAAAATTAACAATGATTTCTAAGCAGATGGGTTGGTCTCCAGAGAGATGAGCTACAGAGATGGGTAGAGTATTTTCATGATATATTTTGTTATGCTTTTTGGTGTATGAATCAAACATTCAAACAATTAAATAAAAAATATATAATCTATTTTTAAAGTTCTGCTGAAATTGTAGGGATATAATAGTAAATAAAGATACCTATGAAAATATATTTCTATTTGTGTGGTACTTTTCTTCTTTAGACAATAATAGTCTATTAGGCTTGTCCCTGATGCAAATGCACCTCCCTTTCTAGGCATCAGCACACACCCCTCTTCTATGTCTACTCAGAATATATATATATATAAGGAAGGGTGTCTGTGTTTGCATATGATCTGTGGATTCAGTTACCCAGACAGTAGAGTCCTCTCCAGATTTCCAGAGGTTAAATGTTTCAAATCAAAGAAGAAATTGTACAAGTTCACTTACCCATTCTGCTACCTTGCTCTGTACTTTAACTTCAGGGTGACGAAGGATATTTTGAATCACTATGGAAATTCTATAGACAATTCCATCTGTCCATTGGAAATAGGATTTAGTCCGTTAATTATATTTTACAGTCATATAATTCTCAATTTAAATTTACAATCACACAATTTCACACAATTTAAAAGAAATGCCTTTTTTGGGAGATACAGGTTTCCAGTTATAGAATGAATAAGTCACAATTTTAAAAGATACAGTACAGAGAATATAGTCAATGGCATTGTAATAACATTTGTATGATGACAGACCGTACTATACTCATGCCGAGCGTAGGAGAACATACAGACTTGTCGAATCACTATGTTGTACACCATAACATCGTGTGTCACCTAGACTGCAATTAAAAACAAAAAAAACTAAAAAAATAAAACACCTTCTATACAGGTACAGAAAATTTGAGATATTTTGACTTTATGTTCATTGACCTTTGTAACTTCTTAGAAAGAGTTCTGTTTATTCTTATAAATAATTCACTGCCTCTCAATTATCACCTACGTATTTCCTTAATTCTATGGATTTTGGATATAGAATTCCAAAATTTTTTCATGACATTTTCATGTACAGTTTGATCTCTTATAACAGGAAATTATCATTTTTTTGTACGTTAGAAAGAATGACAGAGTTTAAGGTATGCAAACTTGAGTGGGATGATGGACAGAAGTTAACCTGAAAAAGAACAGGCATACACATATTTGGTGCCCTCAGCCCCTTATTCTTCCTTTTCTCTTTCCCCTCCCCAATATAGCATTTACTTCTACTGAGTCATTTACCAGATTTTTCATCAAAATTCCGTAAATACAGTCACTTGTATCAAAGTAAAGGGGGAAAAGAAAGAATATTTGCAGATAGAATTTTAACTGGACTAAGTTGCTTTAAAAAGAAAATCTTATGAGAAAAGAAAGTTTTGCTTTTTTGGGGGGACAATCTTTAAAGTAGCCTGATACATACATACATATATATATATATATATATATATATATATATATATATATATTTGTGTGTGTGTATATATATATATATATGTATATATATATAGTAAATGCAAATTGAAGTCACCAGCCAGGGTTTGCTAAATCTCTCTAGATGTGTGTTATAGGGTACCTTACTATAAGCAGCTAATAAAAAATATCATTTTAAAATATCATAGGCTATACAGAGAAAAAAAATTGAATCTCCATTATTGTCAGTCATCTTTCTTCATGCTTATATTTTGGTATAACTTAAGTAAAGTATGCACAGAAAATGTAGAAATATACAATTAAAACAATGTTGGGGAATAGATTTAATAAAAAAAGTTGGGAAGTCGGTAGAAAAAACATAAAACTCTGCCTTTGGAAACCCCCATATCTACCAAAATGCAAATTCCAGTTCCACTACTATGCTTTTCCAGTACGGGGTCAGAATCTCAGGCTAAAAATTTTGCCCCTCCCAAATGTAACAATATAAATAATATGAAATTGGTACAAGTCCAAGGACAAGTGGTTTAACTTATGCAGACTAGGTTATTTAGCATCTAAAGCTTTTCAGGTATTTTAATGATATTGATTTTATGTTCCTCTAAAAATATTCTGAATTTAAGATATTTAGAGGAATATATTCAAAACAAATGCTATTAATTCAGATTTAAAAAAAAAACGCTTTCACACTGTATTATATCATATCAAATCATGGACATCCTGAATGACTGAGGAGAAATTTAAGTTGCAGAGGTCCAAGAGTCATTCCAGGATCCTCAGGGTATCCTGTGTATGCTCCCTGGTGTCTGCAGAGTAGCTGAAAAGCTACCACTAGATGGAGACCTAAAGCATATGTTTAAGAGTAGTGTTCTTTCCCTCTCAGGGAAATAATGCAAAATACTAAAATTCATTAATTTTTATCACTGACATTTCTGAAATGTTTTGGAAACATTTAAGATATTCTTCTTTAAATTTTAAATATTTCCTGCCTCATTTTTTCAATCTGCTGTTATTTATACATGAGAAAGACATCCAATATCAGAGACAGCCTAAATCAATCTATAAGTACAGCATTCTCCCCAGAGTTATATTGCTTATAGCAAATAAAATATGTGAACACAGAGAACAACATAACATCTTATGTTACAGCTTCTCTTGTGCTATAGATCATTTTCAAGTAGTCTCCCTGCAGAAACCTTAGAATGAGGTATTTATACACTCAGGGGAGTCTACTTGTTATATTTATTTAAAAAATTTCTGAATAATGTAGCCAACAAGTAAACATGAGATACGTCCAGGAGTGAACTGTCAAAGCAAGATAAAACGTCCACCAAAGAATTGGTAGGAGGGGTTTTGGATTGCAGCAAATAATTGGCTTAAGCACTGTTGTTGCAGAAAATGCACAATTAAGACATCCTGATTCAGGCTTTCCCACGTCATCCTAGCAGTCAAGGGGTCTTCTGTGGATGTAACAACTCCCACAGCGTCGCAGTAGAAAAGCTAATCATACATTTTCATATATTCCATTCCTAATAATGACATCCAAGCCAGAAAACATGACAGATCTTTCTTGAGGTGGGGTGGGGGGGGGGGGGGGGGGGGGGGTTGGGGAGAAGCATTTATGAGTATACCCATTTTTCAATTAGAAGACTCTTTCAGTCAAGCAGAACCTCAAAGTAGAAATCATTGCTTGCTGTTACAGATGTGGTATTGAAAGGGTATATTCCCGTCAATAGGTTTTTCTCCAATTAATCGTTTTTTTGATCCTTCTTAACACTCTTTCTAGGGTTTCTTGGGAGACATAGAAATGACACTACATATTTAGTCTATATTCAAGGGTGTGAAATATAGGATTGAAAAGGTAGATTTTAAAATACTTTTTTGAAAAGAGAGACGTGAAAATATAAACCAAATGTTATTTTAGAGTCAAATTCATTTCTTTGAACTGGTGATGAGGCAATTATAACCTTATAGTCACATTTATAATATGACGGGAGTTCTGCTCGTCCTACACACATGATTTCTTTTGATGCCTGGCATATATAGCTAGATTGAATGTCCAATCTATACACATATCCAGAGAATAATTTTTTTATTTGAGTAATTAAATGTACGTTAAGAATCTGGAAGCAGTGTTACAGTTAATACCTGTAAGCTGGGTTTTTAGAACAATAATAAGGACTAACGGAGTTAGTTCCTTACTTGGGTTACTTGGGTTGAGCCCACAAGATTTAATATTCAGTAGCAATAGAGTGATGCTTCAAGCACAGAAGAGA